CCCCCCCCCCCCCCCCCTGCATGAACACCCTGTACGCTTGCGTACGTATGTGTGTGCGCCTCACACACTCCCAGGCATGCTCTTGTTTTGGTGCCGAGGACAATATAAGTGTATCGGCCTCAGGTGGCTTGCTTGTAGCTCACGCACACACACACACTGAGCTTCGGCACGACAAGCCAAAAGGCCGTGAAACCTCATGAATAAGAAAATGAAGCTTCACCTCTCCGCCCCTTCCATCTACATCTGCATGAAAGAATCCCTGCACCGGGTTTTTCTGACTGGCTCATTTTGAATTCCACCCTCCTCCTCAGATGTTGTTCCATTTCATATCTGTCATGCACAACATCGTTGCTTTCAACATGCGTGGAGGTGCTTTAATAGAGAACCACTCAAGCATTACAGCGTCATCATTAAGATAAATGAGGGAGGAGAAAGAGGGGGTTCTCTCTATCTTATTTTTCTTGGAGATGACTTCTTTCTACGTCTCCCTGCTTTAAAATGTCTTTAGCTAAAAGTTACACTCACAATATGTCAAAGAGATGAGGAGACCCTGCTGAATGAGTGTGTGTGTCAGAGTTAATATTGACTGAGCACACACACGATCCTCTTTTCACCCATTCAGACCCCGCTGACAGCTAAAGATGGTCTCTTTCTCTTCTGCGAGTCGCTGTTTCTTTAACAACCAGGCAACAATTGGGCAAGAACCCGCCGTACAGCCGACCGCAAAGCATTCAGAAGCCAAGAAACACTCCCAAAATATGTGTGTGTGTGTGTTTGCGTGCACGTCTGCAGCCCCGGCCGACGGCACACTTCACATTCTTGTGGATGGAGAGGCAGATGTGACGTTGTCATATTTTCTCACCGGAGGAATTTCCTCTCCTCTCTCCTGGGCCAGAAGGGAGCTGAACGATGTCTTCTCCCCGGCGTGTTAACTTGCAGATGAGTGTAAAACAGACCCACTTAACAATGCAGCCGTCTCGCTCCCTTTTTTTCTTCCTCCCTCCTCCTGTTTTAACGAGGCCCCGAACGAGCGCCGAAGTCGTGTTCTGCAACGTGAACGATCGGAGGTGAATTTTTTGTTTTCTGTAGTCGCGTAGCAACAATCCCCAAGTAACCTGATCACTAAGTTGTACTCCGGAGCGGTGGAGCTCAAATATAATGCAGCTGCCTCATGCCGTCTTACAACAAAGAGACTCTTGGCCGAGTGATTAATAAACAGATTAGAGTTTACGGTCGATCCCCTCGTGGGATACATGTGCACAGACTCGGTTAGACTAGAGGCATGCTGACAACTCGAGGGTACACCCTGGCACTCGAGAGGTTAAACGCAGCAAAGGGAAGTTGAATGGAAAAAATTAGAACATGAACAAAACCCGTCGCCCTCCGCTCATGTGAAGAAGTGGTGCAACCTCTCCTTCGCTTGCCACCTTTTTCCTCCTGCTCTTTGTTTTTCTTCAACCTCTTTTGTTCTCTCTCCCGCTCCCTCTCTCTCTCTCCCTCTCCCTCCCTCCTTTGAGTCTCCCGCTAACAGTGTGAGTGTTTGCTGCATGTTGCCATGGCTATTCTTGGAGCCTGATGCACTCTGTTACCTTCCTGTGAGACCAACTAACTCGTGTGAGTGAGAGAGAGTGTATGTGAGAGTGAATGTATGTGAAGGTCTTTTTTAGAGAGAGAGAGAGAGAGAGAGAGAGAGAGAGAGAGAGAGAGAGAGA